AGTCGTAGCTTTAAAAAAAGGTTCCAAGAACATATACAAGCGTTAAAATCAGGTAACAAAACGACAATGAAATCAAATTTTGCAGAGCACCTAATCGAAACTCGACACGAATACAAAATTAAAATGAAAATTTAGAAATTCTAGAATATGAAAGAAATAAAACAAAATTAAATGTCAAAGAAGATTTTCATATATACACAAATTACAAAAGATTTTCTCAAAATTTACTCGTAAAAACTAAGTGTATTTTCAATAGTGTGATAAAGGAATCATCACACAACAATAAATCACCACAATCAAGTTCTTAAAAATGATGATAAAGCCTGAAAACCTGACGGAATGTGTAGGAAAACGTAACGCGCCTATTGTATGGGTCAGAGTGCCGCTACGTACACTGACTTGTGGTGGGGAGAGCCCGTCCGCGGCCGGCTCGTTTTCGCTGCATTGAGTCAGCGTTCCATGTTTATAGTTCTATGGTCATACCATCGCCAAATCCCCTCCAAGTAGGCCAAGGTCAGGTCGTTGACCAATGGCCGGAGCGCGCGCATCACCTGTCACCACCTGTATCTCCGGTATCGCCACTCATGGGGTATCGTTAGATTCATAACGAAACGAGGGAACCCCAACCTAACATAACCGCCACAGCGCGCAGTATACATACTCGGAAATAGAAAAACAGGTGCGCGCTAGTCCACACAAAGTACATTTTAGTCTGTTGTACTCTGTATCAACGATGTCACTTAAGCGACAACGTGCCACCACGTCAACCCGCCATCACTATTTCATGAGGTGGCGGGTTGTCGTGTACGCTCAATGTTCGGTGTTGTCAACCCGCCACCTCGTACGTAGACGTCAACCAGCCACCACGTCAACCCGCCACCACACTAAAGAGGTGGCAGGTTGACGTGTATGAACACGTCTAAGCACCACCAGGACAACGTGCCACCACGATAACCCGCCACCACACATTTTTCCGAGGTGGCGGGTTGTCGTGCACGCTAGAGTCAACGTACCACCCCGACAACGAGCCACCACGTCAACCCACCACCTCAAACTTCTTCTTCTTTTTTATGGCGGGTTGACGTGGTGGCGGGTTGACGTGGTGGTGCCTTGGCGCGTTCCCCATATGACTATATTTATTTTTTCATTAATTTGTTATTGTATTTGTATAAAACATGACTATGACCTAAGTGTCATAACATGTCGTTTGTTAATTAAAATGAATTTAAAAGGGTACTTAATGTTTTTATAATGTTTTCAATTATTAATATAGTAGTAGACCTAATTACAACCATACTTATTATATATATACAGGGTGTTTTTTTAAAAAACTTATATCTTTATTTATGTATAAACCGCAATAGATAGAAATATATGCAGTTTGCGGGAATCATCTATTGACGTAGGGGGCCCAATTATTTTGAATTCAACGTTACATTCACATTCCCCCCCTTTCCCCCAACTTAATTTTTTAAATAGCAAGGTACCCCTTGTCACATTACCAAATAAATGTATATACAGGGTGTTTTTTTTTAAACTTGCATCTTTATTTATGTAAAAACCGCAATAGATAGAAATATTCAGTTTGCGGGAATCATCTATTGACGTAGGGGGCACAATTTTTTTGAATTCAATGTTACATTCACATTCCCCCCTGCCACCAACATATTTTTTTTTAAATAGCAAGGTACCCCTTGTGACATATCAAACGAAAGAGCATGAAAAAAGAAAATGTTTGTTGAAAAAAAAAATTAAAAATCGGTTCATAAATTTGCGAGATATTTCCCCCCCCCTTCCCCGGAACTTGATTATTTTTTAAATAGCAAAGTACCCCTTGTGACATATCAAATAAAAGAGCATGAAAAAAGAAAATTTTTGGTGAAAAAAAAATTAAAATCGGCTCATGAATTTGTGAGATAATGTAAGTGAATGTAACGTTGAATTCAAAATAATTGGGCCCCCTACGTCAATAGATGATTCCCGCAAACTGCATATTTCTATCTATTGCGGTTTTTACATAAATAAAGATGCAAGTTTTTAAAAAAACACCCTGTATATATAAATATGTGTGTGCCCATTAGCACGATAACTGAAGCAAAAATGATCCGATTTTGATGAAATTTGGTATAAGAGTGAAAATTTAAAAACGTACGTTTTCAGGGAAAGCATTTTGCAAATTTTTTCCCCCCTTTTCCAAAACTTTTATTATTTTTTTTATTTCATTAACATTTGAAGTTTCATAAAATGTCCATGGTAACGCAATATCTTTGGTAGTTTTTTTTAAGCATTTGTGGAAAAACACAAAATCCTGTCACGACCATAACGGACCTTCAAATGAATATTAAAAATAGTAAATATTTTTTATAACTATGTTTTGCTATAAACTAATTTACTTTTATGACCATTATACAATAAAAAGGTCACTGAGCTTTTGGTATATTTGGTCTTTCTAGAAAAAAATAAAAAACTCAAAAAATTGAAAAAAAGCCAATAAAATCTTTTTAAGTTTGTATAACTCTAAAAAAACTTACCTGAGACCCGAAAAATCGTTGTTTGTATAGAGGTGTGCTTCTTTTGTGTATAAAACATTGAAATATGACAATATTTTAATTTTTGAAATTGTTATGATAGAAATCATAAACGTGATGGTCAGGGACAAGCGGTACGGTCGTGAATTGTCTGGAATAATCTAAATCTTTCTAAACAATCCTTCAATTATACTGTTAGTTATAATAAAAATATGTGTTTCAATTTAACTAAACTGTTCAATTTACAATTATATTAAAGTTATTGTCACGACCAAACACACTATAATCCATAAGGCTGGATTGGTCGTGAAAAAACCCGCGACGGTCGTGAAACTACGTGTTATTTGGCTCTGTTCTGGCGGTAGCCCTGCACCTCATGTTCGAGGATACTAGGTGGACTTCTAAAGTGGACTTCTAGGTTAATCTAGCAATTAAAATAATTTATAAACAAAAATTAACACCATGTTAATTTCATCGAATGACTACGTACGGTCATGGACACACCAAAATTACAAAAAAACACAATCTTTCCTTTATTAATCTTGTAATTCCTCCTTTCAACTCGAAACGACCAGCACTACAATCCTGACATACACCCCGAACTAGTCTCTAAAACCAACTGACTCCATCAACGCCAGGCTTGTCACTGTCGTGCTCCAAAGTTGAAAATTTTTCCCAAATGGTCGTGACGCCAAATCGAGGGACAGACATATTTTGTTATGGTAGTCAGTTTGTAATGACAATAAAAATTATAATATGCTCCTTTTTTGTAAGTTTAATAACCATTGATGACATAAAAAAGTGGCTTTATATATTTCGGCATGAATAATTAGTCTAAAAACACCGTGAAAGTTGGAAAATGTACCCTAGGGACACGTCATGGTCGTGAATTTCGAGACTTTAAAAATACGAAAAAATACCTAGAACCTATTTAAAACCAAATAAATGTGTGTAAAATGTTGCCCCCGTCCCAAAAAATATTTCAAAACATAATAATAAACTACAAATCCAGTATCTACGAAGTAAAAGGCGAGGGACATGAAAACGTACGTTTTTAAATTTTCACTCATAAACGTGTAAACCTACATTCATTCGAACGAGTTCGCGAACCAGCATGATCGGACCATGGGAACCGGGGTTTATGAGGGGTTTTATGGGGTAAAAATAGGGTTTTCCCATTTTTGACCCTAAAAACACAAAATTTCACAATTTCTTTCCAAACAATTTTGTAGAGCTTAAAAAAAACAAATAATTTAGTATATTGAAGCATTATTGTGCGCCTAATGGTTACGGAGAAAATTCTAAAAAATTGTAAACTTAAAATTCCCATGTTATTCTTAAGGAGAATAAGTCAACTGTTGTAAATTGCTTGTTTATGATTATATTTTGATCGAATTTGTAAAATACTTTAATTTCTTACTAAAATATTAACATTTTACAACAAAAAACACCTTTTTACCCTCCCTATTATTGCAGCAAACCTAAGTACTCGTATAGCTTATTTAAATAGGGAATAAATGTGATATTTTTAAGGATGCATTTTAGTGTAAATCCATAGACTAACCAACACAAGTAGACTTCTCATCCCATTGTAAATTTTGAAGCACGTTTTTCGTGTCTAGTTTCGTGTACGTGACACAAAGGCGCTAGTGTCGACGAAACTTTGTTTCCATTTTTTTAGGGTTAATTTCTTGATTTGTGCTTTACTGTTTGGTTATATAACTAGGGGACAAGTTATTGTTTATGATTAGATCGTATTATTTGGTTAAACGAGGTTTTAAATGGCTGTAATAACGGGAAACAAATTGTAAACAAAACACGACCTCTACATAAACCATACAGAACTAACAATAAAATTGTCTTCAACTGTTCCATAAGTATGAGAAATCTACTATAATACATACTCCCTTAGGTTTTAGGAGTATGTTTTATCATAGATAAAACATACTCCCTTAGTAGATTTCTTATCCTTATGGAACAGCTGAAGACAATTTTATTGTTAGTTCATGTACGGTTTATGTAGGGGTCGTGTTTTGTTTACAATTTGTTTCCCGTTATTACAGCCATTTAAAACCTTGTTTAACCAAATAATACGATCTAATCATACATAATAACTTGTCCCCTAGTTATATAACCAAACAGTAAAGCACAAATCAAGAAATTAACCCTAAAATAATGGAAACAAAGTTTCATCGACACTAGCGCCTTTGTGTCGCGTACATGAACTATACACGAAAAACGTGCTTCAAAATTTACAATGGGATGAGAAGTCTACTTGTGTTGGTTAGTCTATGGTTTTATCTATGGTAAATCCAATCAGGCAAATGGAAATTCACTTAGTGTGCAGGTTTGCTGCGGCGGGGGTATTTATACAAAGTTACAGTACTACTATTTGAGACTCTATGAATCAAGAATGTTTTTTCCTCGTCATCCCCATCCCCTCGCTTGCGCCAGTCGCCAGTCACAAGTCAGTCCCGCCGTCCCGCCAAATCTTTTTAATGTGATGTGGTGAACTGGTGATGGATGGTTGGTGTCTGGTGTTTGCCAAGCCAAGTTGTTGTGTGTATGAGTGATGGTGATGGAATACCTTGTTGAAACGAACTTTAATTAACAATAAATTGTGTGACAGAGTGTATCTCTATCCTATAAGTAAAACAACAGAATAACGAGGGTTTATACGTTCAAACTGTATACAGAAAATTTGACATCCCGTTGTTAATAGAAAATGGATGGTGCAGGTTAGTCCACTTTGATAGGCCTAAGTTAGCAGTCCTTAGGTCTAAAGGTGAAGGCCCATCATTTGTTGTTGTGTTAATTGATAATGGATTAACCAATTATCAAATTCATTACAAATTAGGCTCTATATTTATGGTTGATGATTGTCCGAAATTATGCTTTATTTTTCTTTTAATATAGCCCTATAACCTAACTGATTTGATAACTTAGATGCTCCTAGGCCTATGATCAGCAAGTGAGACCAGGGCCTGATTAAGGCTCTAGTCGCCAGTAGGCTGACGTTTTTCGCGCCCCCCCCTCCTCCCTACCACTAGCCCTCCTCTCTGCTACCACTTTCAAAATTTCAAAGTATGAATACTAATTCTGAATTCACAAATTAAAAATTACCAAAGGCATTATACTAATATTCAGTTTATTTAAAAACAAAAGAATGCTGATCATAAATTAATGCATGGTTTGATTAGGAACTTTTAAAACTGCAAATCTTTTGACTTCGAGATAATATTTTAAATTTAAGAGCCAAACAATAGGCTATGACATAGTCATAGGCACTATTAATTCTGGTAGAGTATAGATACAGAAGGTAAAGACATTGTTTAAACTAAGTTCACAGTATGACCTTATAAAGCTTCGTTTGCACTAGGGCGGCACGGCACGGACGGGCAGCCGTCACACAATTTTTTAACATTGAACATATGGTGGAAAATGCCGGCAGTCCCAGCGACGCTGGCAACGGACAACCTGCAATTTTTCGCCTTATGTTCAATGTTAAACAAATGCCATGATGGCTGCCAATTGGTGTCGTGCTGCACTAGTGCGAACGAGGCTTAAAATAGTAACAAATCGGTTGTTCAAGGAATGTAAAACTTTTTGATTTAAAATAATGTATTTATTTTACAGTTTATTAAACATATGATTGTATTAAATCAACCTAAAATATCAAAAAACCAAACAATAATATACATACTTTCTAAATTAACTGTTAATCACCTAGTCCTAAAACAATTTTATTAGGGCCTTTAGATGGGGCCTTTATGCCCCCAGTCCCAACTTTAAGTCTTAGCTGTCTGGCGCCCCCCCTAAAACACTTGGCTGACTGGCGCCCTAGGCTCCAGCCTAATTAGCCTAATGGGTAATCAGGCCCTGAGTGAGACAAACTTTAAGGCGGCTGGCTCCACATGATCAGTATATCCGAAGGCCTGCCACAAGGCGCCCGACTTCTAGGCCAACTTACAAATAACTTAAGTCGGGGGTTCCACACACACACACACACACACACACTGGAATAGGCCTATATGAAGGCCAGCACTGAGGGACTCCAGTTTTTTTGTGCATCATGGCATGAACGGATAGGCTAATGATAATGCGCATGCTGTTGGGGTACAGTTTCTTAACTGGGCTAAGCTAATATCAATTGAAACTATCGATTCGATTAGTAAACCTTCATGCAATTTTTTCACCATCAGCAAGTTTGGTTGGTTGGGGGCATTCCAAAACAATTCAACCAACAAAAAATGATTATCTCACCCACCATCTCAGAATTTGATGAAACTTGGCTTGTTTGTTCTAACCATAAAGATAAGTCACCATACCAAATTTTAACTCAATACCTCTTACCGTTTCCGTTTTATAGCCTTTTAAAGTTTTTCGTTTCCGCTAGTGCTAACCATCAGATGTCGCGGAATAAAACTCGCTTACTTTTAGAAAATAATTTATAACTTTTCTGTTTACTGAAGAATCTTTATAAAAATTCATGTACCCTACTTATTCTTTAAGACATGAGGATTCCAGAAAAAAATACTAATACCTCTTAGTTTAATGTAATAAGGCTGAAAAAAAATTTCTTTTTTGTATCTATGAATTTTTAAAACGTGAAGACATAGCTTAGCGTAAAATGGATTATCTAGAAAAGGGTATTAGATAAACACAAAAACCTTTTTTTACTAATAATCCTTATTAAATTTGCTATCATATGCTGCAAAAATTCATGGGGTTTTAATACCTTCATAGTTTTTTATTAAGTTATAAATCAAATTATGAATTTATTTTTTTTCCGTTTGATTTACAGAACTATATGGGTTTCAAGGAATTAAAATGCCCTAGACTTAGGCCTACACTAATACAAAATGTTTTTAATTACTAAATTAATCTAGTCATATTTCAACCCCTTAACTGTTTCAAAAACTTAATTTCATATTACAGCAGTAATTTAAAATATATGAACGATAAGATAGATACTGCCTTTGAGCTGTCTGAGCAAGTAACAACAGGCTTTCCTAGTCAGCACACTTTGAAGCCTGAGCTTCCTGAGCAAGTAGCATCAGGCTTTCCTAGTCAGCACACTTTGAAGCCTGAGCTTCCTGAGCAAGTGGCAACAGGTTTTTTCAAGTCTTAACATGAAACTCTATTGTTGTACCACTGTTATTGTCAGGTCTTACTGTTATTGTCAGGTCTTTGCTCAGTCAGTATCTAGTGCTCCTTGATGAAACATAAAATATTATATTGCAAGTGTTTAATGAAATGAAATGAATGAAATGAAAAATGTCTTTATTTAAGAGTCGAAGTTAGGACTTGCAATTCCTCTCTACCACTTAGCCTCTAAAACAATAAAAAAACTATTCACTTATATAAATAAATTTAAATAATCTTAAGTCCGATATATTAAATAAGTAATCATGAAGAAATTCAATTTAGTAACCCTAAAAAATCCCATTCACACAACAACCCCCATTCTGCCAACAACCCGTCACACCAGCGCCAGAGACTCACCCACACCTGCTGTTCAATATAATAGATTTTATCTCTGCCCCAAACCTCGCACGGTTTTCTCTGGGTTTTATATGGTCAGGAAGAGAATTCCACATTCGAATTGCTGATACCAATAAAGATTGATTAAAAACTGTTGAATTGGTGTAGATAAAAGGTGAGAGCCTCTACGAGTGGCACGGGTGCTGATGTCAGAAATAAAATGGAAGTTATCTGATAAATACTTGGAAATTTTACTATTGATAATGGAGTGTAGAAGACGGAGGCGGAGGGTGTGAAATTCCCGAAGTTCTTTTAACTTCATCAATGAAAGCAGGTTAAAATAGGGAGTAACATGGTCATATCGCCTTAGGCTAAACATGAATCCGATTCAGGAATTCCGCGTTAGCTGAAGTATGCTAGAAACTTCATTAGTGATGTCATTGATCACCCCATCACAGTTGTTGAAATGAGTCACGATGAGAGTTTTTACTAACATGATTGGAGGGAAGAAGTTACCAATTGTGGCAGAAGAACACTTAAATCCATTAAGCTACGAGCTACGTGGCTTGTACATATGATGATCAATGGTACTTCGGAGTCATTACTGAAGTTAATAAAGAAGAATGTGATGTGACAGTACAGTTTTAATGCATCCTGCAGGGCCATCACCATAATTTCAATGGCCTAAGCGCGAGGACATTTGCCCTGTACCAATTCCGCACGTACTGGCAATTGTTGATCCACCAGACACTGCTCAGGAAGAACATACATATTCCCAGAAAAATGTACAGTATGAGATCAATTGAAGAGAAATGTTCAAAACTCCATTAAATTATTTGTACATAGGTACTGAATGTAATTAAGATACAAATAAATGAAATATATATGTAAGTACAAGACATTATCGTTCATAATTTTAATTATGGCGTTAGTAGGCCTACATATTAAATTTAAGTTCTTGAGACAGTTATGGGTTAAAATATGATGATATTAATTTAGTAATAATTAATCATTATCAAGTTATTTGTAATAGTGAAATTCTAGGGCATTTTAATTCCTTGAAATCCTTACAGTTCTGTAAATCATACAGAAAAAAAAATAAATTCATAATTTGATTTTTAACTTAATAAAAAGCAATGAAGGTATTAAAACCACATGATTTTTTTGCAGCATCAGATAGCTAATTTAATAAGGATTATTAGTTTTACAAAAAAAGGTTTTTGTGTTTATCTAATACCCTTTCCTAGATAATCCATTTTACGCTAAACTATGTCTTCGCGTTTAAAAAATTCATAGGTACGAAAAATAAATTTTTTTCAGCCTGAGAATGAGATAGTGATTTTTATCACAACCTTACGTGAAACAACCTCTTTCAAACTGAAATTTTCGGCCTATCTACTTTCTTGGCCTCATACAGCTGGTCACAGCCTTTTTATTAGCTATTACTTACAGCGTTGCATGGACATGGAGGCCATTGCCTGAATGTTATCCTCTTTTTTTGCTCGCATTTCCTTCATTTGCTACTCTATCGTTACTGGTCAGATCAAATAAAATCACTAGACACAGACGACGCACGTTTAAATGTTGTGGTTTTGTTTTGCTCAGGCCATGATAATTTTAGCAAACACACCTAATGCACTGTGTTCTATTACTACTAGGTGTGCGGTTTCAGGTCCGCCAATTGAGTGGAGTGAACAAAATAGTTAACAAATAGGCTGATCTTTTATTCTTAATAAACTTTAATTTTAAAAAAATGGACTACTACATAAAAACTTAAATGATCATAAATACTTCATCATACAAGTAGAGCTATCATCCACTTACTTTTTGTTTATGCCTGTAACTCTGCCTATAAAAAATCGCATTAGGTCAAAAGTATAGTGTGTTCAAAACAACAATAGTTCTCTCGACGCATGACTTCAATAATTTTTTGTTTTGACGTACTTTAAAAATTGTGCTACAATTTTAATAATTGGCAGCTTTTTGGTTAGTACTACTTGCTGATTTTTCGGTTGGAATTTAAAACAAGCTATCAACTTTATTAATACAAATTGATGATATTTAATTAGTTTAAAATCGTGATTTGTGACATAAAAAGTTGGCGTGCAACTAAGTTTTTTTTAATTTTTGGTCAGAGAGGTTTCGCCTGTGGCAAAGTTGTAGCCAATAGTGTTATGCGTAAAATTGCCTATATCAGCGCCCCCAAATGTGAAAATATCACTTTTATTTCAACTATGAATATATTGTAGTTTAA